AATACATACATGATGAATAAGTGATTGATGGAGTTTGGTTACAGTCAGAAAATCATACTCATGAAAGTGAGTTTAGCCTTTGCTTTAGGCAGTGGAAGAAATGTGATTCCTTATCTGATAGGAGAACACTGAAAAACGGGCGGGGTAATTGCTTAGCCGCTGGAGAGGATACATTGACTTGTGCTGCAATTAGTGGCTTGAGGTCATGAGCAGGGCTGGCCTAAGCAGAGCAGAAGCAGTTGTTCAGCAGTTGCTAAGGGTGGTGAGATTCAAGAGACTGTCAACTCTCCAACAGTTTCTTGTCTTTATTTTTAAAGATACATTTTTTTTTTCACCAGAAAGGCAGATGTACAGAGAGGAGAGACAGAGAGAAAGATCCTCCATCCACTGGTTCACTCCCCAAGTGACCACAATAGCCAGAGCCAAGTCGAGCTGAACTGTAATCAAGAATCGGGAGCCTCCTCCAGGTCTCCCATGTGGGTGTAGGCTCCCAAGACTGTGGGCCATTCTTCACTGCTTTCCCAGGCCACAAGCAGGGACCAGGGGGGAAATGCAGCGCCTGGACACAAACTGGCATCCATGTGGGATCCTGATGTTGGGCCCTATAGGTCAGTTTGTTAAGGCATGATCCTCTAGAGATACACTAGAATACCTGAATGGATTAAGGAAGCACACTGCAGACCCAGACCTTCAGCATCCCTAGGATGTGGCAAACAAACAAAACCATGAAACTGAATTGTCCACAAATTTCCAAAGTAATTCTCACTATCCACACTTATAAGAATTGCTGAGCCTGAGTGAGCAATAGTCCAGCAGAAGACCCAATAAAGGAAGGTAAAAGTTTAAGAACAGGAGGGTAGGGGCCAGCACTGTGGTACAGTAGATTGAACCACCATTTGTATCCTATATTGGAAAGATAGTTTCAGCCCTAATTATCCAGCTACTGATCCAGCTTCTTCCTAACGCACCTGGGAAAGCAGCAGATGATGACCCAAGCATCTGGGCCCCCATCAACCTTGTGAGAAACCAGGATGGAGTCCCAGGCTTCTGTTTTCTCTCTCTCACACACACACACACTCACACACACACGTGACTGTGTGTGTTTGTCACTCCACTTTTCAAATAAATACATCTTTAAGAAAATACAAGATGATCAAAACTGTTAAATATAGCAAAGATGTCAAGAAGAAAGATGGAGAAAAGTCATCAAGCGGGCATGGTACAGTGGCTCAATTGGCTAACCCTTCCCCTGTAAGTACCAGGATCCCATTTGGGCACCAGTTCGTTTCCCAGCTGCCCTACTTCCCTTCCAGCTCCCTGCTTGTGGTCTGGGAACGCAATAGAGGATGGCCCAAAGTCTTGGAACCCTGCACCTGCATGGGAGACCTGGAAGAAGCTTCCTGGCTCCTGGCTTCAAATTGGTTCAGCTCTGGCTGTTGTAGCTATTTGGGCAGTGAACCAGTAAATGGAAGAAAAAGAACGAATGGCAAGCCATCAAGCATGATTCTTGAGCCTACTCTTAGTAAAGTCAGGACAATAGAATATAATTTTTTTTTCTGAGCACTGATCTGTTCTTCAAGATTCAACTCAAGACACTGCAACCAGTGATGCATTTCCTTACTCCACTGGCTAAAGTCCATCAATCCTTGGGATGTCTATTTCTACCATAGCAGTTCCTCTATGCACTGAAATCCTGTTGACCTGATTTTCTTTCTCACTTAGAATGAGGATTTCTTGAAGTTACAGGATGCTTCCTGTTGTTTTCATTTCTTTCCTCTGAGAACTAGTGACATAATTGACAAATAAATGTTATACTTAAGATATACAACTTCAGGCCTGGCATGATGGCCTAGTGGCTAAAGTTCTTGCCTTGCATGTGACAGGATCCCATATGGGCGCCAGTTCTAATCCTGGCAGCTCCACTTCCCATCCAGCTCCCTGTTTGTGGCCTGAGAGGGTGATTGAGGACGGCCCAAAGCCTTGGGACCCTGCACCTGCATGGGAGACCCAGAAGAGTTCCTGGCTCCTGGCTTCGGACTGGCTCAGCTCCAGCCGCTGCAGCCACTTGGGGAGTGAACCATCAGATGGAAGATCTTCCTCTCTGTCTCTCCTCCTCCCTGTGGCTGATTTTGCAATAAAAATAAATAAATCTTTTTAAAAAAAAAAAAAAGATGTACAACTTGATATTTTAGTAAGGAGCAGCATCTTATTTCTTTTCAAGTAGCCATCATCTGGCATTAACACTGGGCACCCAGAAGCTATCTGTAAATGTCTATTGAATGAATGACTAGAGAGCAATTGGAAGCTAAGGGCACAGCCTCATCAGGAAGGTAGATGAATCCTTTGTGTTTCAAGACACATGAGAGCAGAGTACTTGATGCTGCCAGCAAGTGAATAATCAGTTCCTTTGGAGCATGGGAGCGATGTGATTCAATGCAGTTGTAGTTTTAGAAAGCAGAAAGGGCAATGCTTTCTAGTCTTGAAGGAAGCATGAGAAGGTGAGTGTATAAAGTAGTTTAGCTCAGATGGTCCTTTTCTAAAGAAATCATGAAATGAGTTTGTTGCAAGGATGTGCAGGATCTGGGGCCTGGAAAGTCTGGAGGAGTGTTGGTGTGTTTATACTAATAAATGCCTAAGAGATCAATATATTGGGGACTGGCATGGTTGTGTAGCAAGCTAATCCTGCACCTGTGACACCAGCCTCCCATAAGACGGATGCCGGACAGAGTCCTGGCTGCTCACTTCCCATCCAGCTCCCTGCCTGGTAAAGCAGCAGAGAATGGCCCAGGAACCCAGACCCCTGCACCCACACAGAAGACCTGGAAGAACCTCCAGGCTCCTGGAGCGAGCCAGTGGATGGAAAATCTCTGTGTCTCTCCTTTTCTCTCTAACTCTTTAAAGCAAAATGGATACTTAAAAAAAAAAGTGAGATCCATGTGCCCTTAAATGTTAAGAGCACCTTATCACCATCTGACTTCTTTCTATATTCCTCTAAGGAACAGCCTGCATTTATCAGTCATACCGTTTGGACTGGCTACCAGGGCTCGGGCCCAAAAGCCACTGGAGTCACTCGTCTCTCCCTCATCTAACTCTCTTGGCCCTTCCTTCTCTTCTGCCCTTTCGAGGCACTCACAGCAGAACATCTCCTCTGTAGCTGTGTGTGTTCCTCTTGCTCTAGTGTAAATGGCTGATGACTGGGCTGTGTCGTATGATAGTGCTGCACTTCAGCACAGGTGCTTTGCACATCACAGACAGGCAGATGTCTGTAGCACGCACACAGCTCTAAGACAGCATTTAACAAAACGTGCTGTTTCCTTATTTGGGTCCCCTTTTAGAGCCCGCTCAAAGGTACAGACTGGGTGATGTGAATGCCTGTTTCCTTTGTGTTGGAACTTGGTAGTGTTGCATGTGTTTACTGGTTGACATTGGTGAAAGAGGGATAAAGGATAGCAATATGTGGAGACTGAAGAAGAAAGCTAACCTGAAGAGATGCTACATTGCAGAGGTACTGCGTGTCCTCACACAGCCATGTGTCTCGTCCTGCCATCAGTTGTGAAAGCTGCTGGAAAATGATGCCAAGGTACCTGTTTTCATTTACACCATATGACATGTTTGGAATACACATTCTGGATCTTCTTATACAACTCTAGACCCCCTCTTTTACAGCACAGGGTCTGGATAAAAAGGGCTGAGTGTTCCTTGCAGCTAAATGACTGACCAGTCTGTCCATCCTTAATTAACTACCTATTTGAGTGGGACTGATAATACACTACCCTGATCACTCGAGGATTACAATTTAATGTTGGCATTGTAGAGAAAAAGGAAAAGATTTGTGGAACAGCACAGAAACAGCGTCAGACCAGAACAGAAGAAATCTACCCCCCACTGCAGGGAAAACAGTTGAAGGGCATCTTTGAATTTGCACTGGGTAGGGCTTTTTGTTTTAAATATCAGCTTGCCCTCTGTGAGGCTAGTAAGAAACTAGAATAGCTGACTCGTACACAGGGTATACTTTGTGTCCAGGCATTATTCGATGTGATTTGCATACATTAACTCATGTATCAGTACAAGCTTTTGAAATGGATACCAGCATGAGCTCCATTTTAGACGGCACGGAACTGAATGGTACAAAGGTAATACAATGATATCAAGCTCATCCAACTGAAAGTGGGGGAGCTGGGATTCAAGCCCATGTAGTCTGGTTTCTAGTCATGTAGTCGCTTATGGTCCTGGTTTATTTGTGTGGGTCATAAAGAAAAATCACATCTTTTCTCTTTGTGACAACGCAGCACTTACTGTCACATGCTAGAATGCTAATATACGCTTTAGTTGCACACTCTCATTCGTTTCTCATAATAGCCCGTGAAGTACTATTTTTAATCCCCATTTCAAAGACAAAACCAAACAAAAACAGCACAACCTCTCAGATTCAAGGTACAAAGGTTCAAATAACTCGGCCAGGGAATGAAATTTAGACCAGCTGAGTTCACTATGAGCTTCTCAGTCTTCCCTGGCAGTAAAATGAGACGAACGGAGGACCTCAAAATGATACCCCGAGAGTACAATGAAATCATGGATGTGAAAAGGCCTTGGTGAACAAGTGTAAGGGAAAAGGCCTACCCCCTTGATTCACTGTTGCAAACCGGTTACCCAAGGCCCCATTCCAACGGTTTCTATCCCAAGCCTGCCCTTTCTCCGCCCAACCCACAGCCAGATCTTTGAATCTCTTTCTCTATATCCTAGGATCCTGCCCCCCAAACACTCGGCGAAGCGGCAGAGCGGAGAATAGAAGGTACGCGCGCGACCAGGAGGCGGAGTTTAACCGCCCGGATCCGTACAAGAGGCGGATAGCACATGCGTTCTCAACCGGCGACTTCAGCTGCCCTGTCCCTGCGGCCAATCAGAGCCCGCGGCGCGATCCAGACGTGTAAACGTGCTGTGGAACGTGTGCGTGCGAGGGGGGCGACGTCAGGGCGCTCCGCGAGCCCGTCTCTCCTCGAATGAAAGGAAACAACCTCCAGCGACAGAGCCCCGCTCTCAGGCGCTGCTGGAGAACCGAGACCGACTTCTTTCTCTTTCCCCTCATTGGCGCTTCCCTCCCGCCCTCCGCCTCTAAGCCCCGCCGGTGAGTCCCCTCGGAACCCCGGGACCCCCAATTCTCTGCCCGGCGGGAGACTAGGAGGATGGCGGTGGCCAGGCCGCCGCCCCTGCCCGTTGTTAAGGGGGGGACTCCTGGTGGTCTCGCTTTATTGTCAGGGACCCCAGAAGCGCCGCTCATTGTAGGCGCTTGGCGAAGAGGCTGCTGAGAAAGTGCTTTGGAGGCGCTAAAGGAGACGTTAGGCTTGAACCTCCACTTCGGGGGTGGGGGCACAGCATTCAAAAGGGGGAAAACCAACATTTTTAGTCTTTAAGGCTGCTTAGGACACATTTGGGAAGCAGGGAGCCACTCAGTTTAGGAAGAGTCGGAAGAGGAAAATCGTTAGGATGGCAAGAGGCTTAGCTTTAGGGAATGAGGAAAAACTCCGGGGTGGGGGGAAATTGGGGTGAAACTGATGCAGAAGGTAAAGCTTACAAATCAAGACTAGGAGAGAACACACTCCTTGGAGAGGGGGTCCAAAGAAAGTGATAGGGTGTTATCTTCCCGGATTCCGGAGGATTCAAAAAGGACAATTAGGGGACCTTGATTTGGCGACGGAAAGGAACCTGCTGAAGTGTTTTAGAGGAAGATAGTTTTTGCGAGTTTATCTAGCGCTGGATTAGCGGGGGATCGTGAAGTCTACTGTGGATTTGGGCAATCTCCGTTAGCAGAGGCTTTGGTACGTTGTGTGTACCATCTTTCATTATATGGGCGAGCAGCAACGGTATTCCTTTGCAGTTTCCATTCGTTTTTTGATGTTCTGCGTGGAAGTTGAAAAAAATCTTTTGTTTAAAACACACACACACACACACACATACACACACAGCCTTTTCATCAACTTACTGCGTAACAGCAGGTCGTATTCATACGATTCAAATCCTTTCTCTACCCTTGATTTTTGAAACAACTGGAAAATTCCTTTAGTTTACTTTTGAATAACCGCAATAAGCAGTGCGAAGCCTGGAACAATATCGTGCAACCAAATTCAGGTACCCTTCCGGTACATCTCTTATTCATTTATTTCTCTTGTACTGTAACTTTCCTGACGAATTCGGCTTCTTTGGAGGATCATGTTAATATATTCAAAGGTGTATCTTTCAACTTGCTTTCCTGTGGGGTGTTTTAATCTTCCGGAATTGCAGGATTTGTTTTTATTTTGTTTGTTTTTTCAATGAAAGAGGTTTCAGGTTATTTCAGTCTTGGAAAATCGGAAACGCGTCGAACACTGTAGCCTAACTAATCTCGCTCGCAACATTTTTTCCGGACATTGACATTATGTTGTGCTCGCTGCTACTGTTGCCTCTTTAATTCCGCTTTGTAACATCTACATTGAAATGTTTCTTTTTAAGGAAGAGGTTCCATTGTTGTGTTACAATGTTAAACTTTGATCTTGGCATGCCCTGAGAAACATTGTATACTAAAATTATCATGCCGTATAGCTGTGTATGGTTAGGAATCCTTAGTATTGGTCCTTGGAATGCCCTTTGGCTACTTAGAGACCACAGATGTGACAGCATGAGATAAAAATCTTTATTTTCGTGATAAAGACATTTTTGCCAGGAGTCATTGTTTCCACTTCATGTTTTACATGGAGGCTGTAAAGAAACTAGCAAGATATGCACAGATGCATTATTTGAATTTTAGTGGAAAAATCCATTTAGTCATTTCACATTGGGGAAAGTTTTTATTTGGTTTGTTGCGCTTTTTTTTTTCTTTGCGTATGGGGCTCTGTTCATAAATGAAATTTAAACTGATTTTCAGAAAAAAAAATGTTAATTCAAAGTGTCCTTTTTACACCGTTTTTTTTAGATTTTAGAGTCTGTTATGTAGGAAAGCTGGGTCTCAAAATGAACATGAGAGCTTTGCCTGTGTATCGATCGGAAGAGGCGGAATTGAATCTGGATAGCATTTGGGGAATACCATTTCAGAGTTAATTATAGGAATAAAAAGGAATTTACACAATAGGAATTTTAGCTTCAGCCAGTTTTATATGCAGTGTGAGTGTATAGAAATTACAAATTACAGATGTCTGTAGAGATTAGATTTATAATGTACCATCCTTTCATCTGGCTAGGATGGACAGAGAAAGGCTGGATACATCACAGTGGGTTTTGAGTGCCTACTATTCATTACATAGCAGGAAAGAAAACTAATTTAGGCCTCAAATAGCAAATTTTGGCACTATTTATGAGTCTGGGTATTTTGCATAGTTATTTCTAAAGGTTTGGGCAGTTTTGGATAAAACAACTGAGCACATACTTGCCTGAACAAATGCTAACACACTTCCCCTTTTGTTTCTTTTGTTTCTCTGTTATGTCCTTTTTTCTTTTCTCTTTAATCCTAAAAGTATTTGCTGCCTGTTTTCAATCAGTTTCACGGTTTATAGCCAGTGCTGTGAATTCAGTACTGTAATGAAGTCTCAGATGCTGTATGGAAGACTGAGGTATTTAAATCATACATAGCCTTAAGAGTTGACTAAACCCCCATCAAAACAAGGACTGCCAGGGCTTTTGAAGTTTCGTTAAAAAGAAAATTCCAGATTAAAATCGATGATGAGAAGACATGCTTCCTTTGTTGCTTCATAGGTGATTTTGATTAAGTAGCAAAATTTTTATATTTCAAAATGCTGAGTGATTTGTAGATACAGTAATACCTGCTGGCATCTGGCTGCCACCATTCTTGCTGATCAGGTGCTTTCTCAGAAAGCTACATTTTTGAAACAGTATCACGAACATTTCCATATCATAGTAGAAAATGGAAAGCTTTTAATAAATTTTCAGACAAAAGTTTGAGGCATGGTCGATTGTGATTCCTTCCTGCTGTGACAGCCTGGCTCCTAAACTGTTGACTTGGGAGAACTGCACGAATACTGATTTTCAATTTGTTTGCCATTGCTCTGAAGAATCCATGTTGAGATTGATATTCTAAATCTGAAAACTTTCATGGCTGAGCTTTTCTGACCTTGCTTGTCTGAGCATGTTACCTATCATTATAATTTGATCAAGTTTAAGACTTATTCAGAAAAAAATTTCCTCCCATTACAAAGTGTTACTAATGTGAGTATGGAAGTTACTGCCTTTCAAAAATCATTGTTGGTTGTCTAGAACGATTTCCTAGGCAGAACTGTAGTAATTGCAGAATGATATAATTATTTTATAAATAACTAAATTCTAAAATATGTGTTTGAATAGATTATTAGAATCTTGGTGCTTTTAAAAAGGGAATAGAGTGGCAGAAGTTAATTTTTAACAGTTCTATATAGGATATTTTAAAACTTAGAAATAATTGAAGATTTTTTTCAAGATCATTGTTCCAAAAATCACGGTTAAGTTCACTTTACTGTTTTGTCAACATGTGAACTTTAAGAAATTGTGCAGGTGTAGGATTTTGTTTCTCTGGTTATTTTGTGATGTTCTTAGTATTTTTTACTGTGTTCTTAGGTAAATGATTTTCTCCTTGAAGGGGCACCTAGCTGTATATAAAATATAGTATCTATTAGACTTTCCCAGCAGGTGGTGATTTAATATTATACATTTTTGTCTGTATAGAAAGAATTCTGCTTATTTCTTTTATTCACTCCTTTGGGAGCTGCTGGATTTTTCTCACGTACTTTAGGCTTCACTGAGTTATCTATTTGCAAATACATTTTTAGGGAAGCACCTTAGGTATTTTCATGTATTGATTATTATTTTTAATTTGCCTCTGTTAAATATATCTGAAAATGCATTAAACAACTTCCATGATTAGGTAGATACTGTTTTTAAAATGAAATTAACTGTTGTGTTGCCATTCTTATTTTCTTGAGGCTTAAAGTGGCCTTCTAAAGGCAGTTTAAAAATCATGTCAAGCTCAATTGAACAGAAAAAAGGGCCTACAAGACAACGAAAATGTGGCTTTTGTAAGTCAAATAGAGACAAGGAGTGTGGACAATTATTGATATCTGAAAACCAGAAGGTGGCAGCACATCATAAGTGCATGGTAAGTATCTGGGCAGCACATAGGAAGCCTTGAAGCCATTCATGAGAAACTTGATGATGCATGAATATGCCTACATAGTTTAAAAGTACTGTTAAAGCAAATTACCACTAATGTTATGCCATTTGTACTGGAAAATTTCTTTTTAAATTTAACATCTTGTTCATGGTTTTATTGTAATTATATATGACTCCCCCCCCCTTTTTTTTTAATGTAATTTATAGCTGTTTTCATCTGCTTTGGTATCCTCACACTCTGATAATGAAAGTCTTGGTGGATTTTCTATTGAAGATGTCCAAAAGGAAATTAAAAGAGGCACAAAGCTGGTAAGTTGGTGTTTCTGCCTCTTGAGTATAAAAATTATTTTAAACTCATTATGGAAGAAGTGCTTATTTTAGAGTGTATTGTATTATTAACTGAGAATAATTTAAAATGGCAACTTTTTTTCCTGAGCCAGCAAAATCCAAGGCTGGGTTTAACTTACCATTCAAAAAGGAGTGAAACATTATTTACATCATTCAGGTTTTTTTGTTTTGAAAAAAAAAGAATAAAAATCCTCTTAGTGGTTGTATTGACTTAGATACCAAACAGTTTGCCTACTTGAGTGTATTGTAGTAAGGTTTTTAATTATATTTTCCATAATTTTGATAGGTTTCATCTTCCATGATCAAGTTACTATGGTCATTATAAATGAAGATGACAATTAACAGGAAAATGCTAGTACTTGACACTTCTAGTATTTTAATATGGTTCAACTATATATAAGTCGATGTATATACCATTTTGGATAACTTTTAATGAATTTTATAGGAATTTTCTGAGGCTGTGCAATAGTAATACCGCTTTAAGCTGTCTTTATTACCAGTAAATGGATTGACAAGATATTACATTGTTCTATTGGAAAAGTAGTATTATTTCAGATGTTTTATGACACATTATGGTTTACTTTGAAACATTTAATTGAAAGATTTATTTTCATTTAATTCTTTTTATTGTTTGAGTTCTTTATTGAAATTGCATGTGTAATTGCGACCACTATTTTCACAATCAAATGTTCTGTTATTTTAAAGAAGTATCTATGTTCTTAGTCATTCAGTGATCTCTTAGTTTGTATTCTGAGAGTTTGGGGCTGAAGTGATATCAGTCTTCTAGTGTTAGGGGAAAGGCATCATGATGTACTTATTTCAAAGGTAACATTTGAGATTTATTTCAGGAAAAATGATCTCAAATTCTGATAAATAGCATTGGTAAAAAGTGAGAATTTAGAGGTCAGACTGTTTTTGTTGTAAGATCTAAACTATGAAAATCTTTAAGTTTTCCTCACACGGCGAATCGTAGAGATCAAATGAAAACTCTGTTTTAAAAAATGTGATTTTATTTGATTTTTAAAAAGGTTACTTCTGTTACTATGGAGTGCTGACTTTTGAGAAACAAGAACACTGTGGGTTTTTTTTTTTTTTTTGGTTCTTAAAATGAATTTAGAAAAAGTACTGTTTATTTAAAAGTGGTTGGCTATCAATTATATTATGCCATTATTTATTGCTTGTCATGATGAATATCTCTGGAAAAAGCTTCAGTACCCTGACTTGTTAGAACCTTTGTCATTTGATGTGTCTCCTGTAGTCAGAACTGGAGCAGTTTTGGTCTCTAATGTTGAAATACCATTAGCAGATGTTCCACGAAGCAGCAGAATACATCTAGCAATATTGTTGAATTTGTTGGAGATAATTTATTTGGACTGCTTGCTAGGAAAACATCAGAACTAGATGCAAGTTTCACTATTACTGTTTTGATTAATTTTTAATGTTATATAGTGTAGGGCATTAATTTCTCCCTCTCAAGTGTGACATGAAACAAATTAATAAACTTATTCCTTGATCTAGAGAGTGAAACGATACTGGGATGAGAGCAAAAGCTGTAGTAACAGAGCTCAATAAATCCCAGCTCTGTTCCTCACTCACTGAGGGATCCTGAGTAAATTATTTCTTTCTCTAGGCCATACTTTTGTCATGTACAAAAAGGGGATAATGTTAGTACTTGACTCGCAGAATTATTGGCGGTATTAAGAGAGAGAATATATAGGGCTTAGCACAGAGTTCAGTACACGGTTAGGACTCAATGAATGGTAGCCACCATAGTAGTTATAGTGGATAAAAATAAGATACTGGTAATGCTGGTAGGATAACGAAAAGCATGCTAGTTTGACAAATCATAAAGCCTATTTTTTTTCTTCAATGACTGCTACTAACACATTATGTAACTTTAGACAAGTCATTAACTTATTTATCTTTTTGCCAAGTGTAAATAGCTAATGCTGTATCACTGGTTATTACATGGTGATGTTGCATGATTGCAAAGAACGGTCAAAGAGATAAAGATTTGTACCCAGTGTGGTAGCCTAGTGGCTAAAGTTCTCACCTTGCATGCGCTGGGTTCCCATATGGGTGCTGGTTCATGTCCCAGCAGCCCCGCTTCCCATCCAGCTCCCTGCTTGTGGTCTGGGAAAGCAGTCGAGGACGGCTCAAAGCCTTGGGTTCCTGCACCCACGTGGGAGACCTGGAAGAAGATCCTGGCTCCTGGCTTCAGATCAGCTGTGCTCTGGCTGTTGCAGCCACTTGGGGAGTGAACTAATGGGTGGAAGATCTTTCTGTCTCCTTCTCTGTCTCTGCAATTGTTACTTTCCAATATAAATAAATACACCTTTAAAAAAAAGAGAGATTAAAAATTTGCCTTAGAAAAGATGTTGCAGGAACCATTTGGACACTGTCAGTGTATAACATTGATGAATAGTGACACAGCAGAGAAGTTTTGAACCTGGGCTTATTATTTTGCTCCCTTTTCTCCCCAGATGTCAAAATTTAAATAATTTATATAAGGAGAGAAGAGGACAATATTTGTGTATTTAACTTTGAAATAATTTTTACAATGCCTTTTATCCTTTAGTTTTGCTCCTCTCATTCGATACTTTTTAAAAGTTTGTTTTTTAAGATTTATTGGTTTGAAAGGCAAAGTATCAGCCAAAGAGTGAGAGATTTTCCATCTGCTGATGAACTTCCCAAATAGCTGTAAGGGCAGGACATAGATGGGCAGGGCTGGAACCAGGAGGCTGGAGCACAGTCCTGGTCTTCCATCTGGATGGCGGGAACCCAAGCTGTTGCGGTGTCTTCCCTCTCTGCTTTCCTAGGCACATTAGCAGGAATCCAGATCTGAAGCAGAGCAGCTGGGATTCAAACCAACTCAAACTAGAGCTGTGATAGGAGTTGCTTAACCGGTACACAGTACCAGCTCCCCATCGTATCATTTTTTTAAAAGACTTAGCAAGCAACCACAATTTCAGATTTTTAATTTTTTCTTTGATTTTCCCTGTGTTTGAGATTCTTATTTAATTTGTTTTTAAAATTTATTTGAAAGGCAGAGCTCTCCCATCTTCTGGTTCACTCTGCAAATGCCCTCAATAGCTTAGGACGAACCAGGTGAAAACCTGGACTTGGAATTCTGACCCAATCTTCCACTTGGGTTCCTGGGATCCAGTTACTTGAGCCAACACCTACTGCTTCCCAGGATTGCTCATTAGCAGGAAGCTAGGATTGGAAACAGATTGGGACTTGAACCCAAGCACTCTGATGTGGATGTGGGCACTCTGTGCCAGATGGCTACTCCTTATGTAGTTTTGCATGACCAGTACACATGTCAGAAATCAACTGGGGAGGGAGTGTGAAGAGCTTTATAAACTAGCTTTCCTAATTGACTTTTCAAAGCATTTCATTCTGTGAGCCTGTTTGCCCTGGCTCCTGTTCATCTGGATCTCTTGGTAAAAAGTAGGTCATAAATACCCATTGAAAAATCAAAAACTGGAATGCTGGCTCTTAAGTGCTTTCCAGATAGATTGCAGTCTGTATCTGATGGTGGCACCACTGGTGCTTACTTCCCCCAGCAGAAAGAAGAGACTGGGACTTGGGAGAGGGTTTAGGCCAGATTGGTCCAAATCCTGTGACAATAGTGGGCTACTAGAGCAGGAGCTACAGGTGTGTGCTCTCTGTGTTCTTGATGCCTTTGCTTTCAGGCTAAGGTTTTCAGGTCAACCATAAAAATTAAGAGGAAAGGGGCCAGCATGGTGATACAGCCAGCTATTTCACCACGCTGGTGCCAGCATCCCATGTGGGTGCCTGCTTGTGTCCCAGCTACTCCACTTCTGATCCAGTTCTCTGCTTATAGCCTGAGAAAGCAGCAGATGGCCCAAGGCCTTGGGCCCTGGTACCCACAAAGGATATCCTAAAGAAGAAGAAAGAAAAAATCTATTGTACAAGAAAATATTGATCTATGTAAATCATCTTTCAGGATATAGCACCAAGATAGACCATGAAAAATCAGCCAGAGCGCTAAGGCTTTTATTATCCAGGCCCTGTTTTTCTGGTTTAGACATACATAGGTAATTTTTCCAGAATTACCTCCAGTGCCTACTGAAACCATATGGAGAACATCAGTTTGTACCATCTATTCTTACTCAAAAGCCATCTAGCCAAGAAATGGAAGTTTGCAAGTAAAAATGAGTTACTGCTTTTTTTTTTTTTTAATTTAAGGAAACACTTGATAGCAGTATGTTTGAAGAGTGTGCTCTCTGGATGAGGAGGGGGATAAGGTCACTAAAGTTATTTGTTTTGTTTTAAAAACTTATTTATTCATATTGGAAAGTCAGAATTATAGAGACAGAAAGAAAGATCTTCCATCTGTTGATTTCACTCCCCAAGTGGCCACAAGAGCCAGAGCTGAGCCGATCCGAAGGCAAAAGCCAGGAGCTTTTCCGGGTCTCCCACACAGGTGCAGGATCCCAAGGCTTTGGGCATTCCTCGACTGCTTTCTCAGGCCACAAGCAGGGAGCTGGATGGGAAGCGGGGCTGCTGGGACATGAACCAGCACCTATATGGGGACCCAGTGCATGCAAGGCGAGAGCTTTAGCCACTGAGCCATCATGCTGGGCCCTATCTATTTTGGATAGCCATTAT